ATAATTCCCAGTGATTGAATAGTGCTTTTCCCCAAAGAGGTTTGCGTAACTGCATTTAGGAGAAAGCACGTCCCACTGAATCCAGTGTGAATTGCTTCTGAGTAAACAGGTGTAGGATCAGTCAGTTAAGTACTAACTCACTTTACAATGGAATGTTGAGACACCCTTTTGAAATCCTACCTTATTTGTGTGTCTAATCAGCTTTTGTCCTCCAAATTATTAATTTTGGGATTCATTGTACTGAGAAAGTATTTTTTTAAGCAAAAAAGAAAGAAAGATCGCTAATCCCCTTTATTACTCACCAAACGGTTGGTAATTTAACAAAGGCTACTAAGCCCCCAGATGTAGGTTTCACTTCTTCCAGTGCATATTTAACAGAATAATTTTGCACACATTATTATGAGATCAAATGAAAAACAGGGCCAACATTCTAAGAAAGGTAAAATTCTTTCCACATTAATGTATTCACTCCATAATCCTGACAAGTTAGAATAACCTTGTGGCCAGTTTATTATTCCTCACCCTTCCTTTTTGCAGAGGAGTCATCCTTTACGCCGTTCGCTTATAATTTCTAAGTGACTCATTTTGAAACCAGGTTTGGTGTGTGTTTTTGTTACACATTTTAACAGAGAAACAGAGTGTTCAGAATACCAATAGACTCTTTGAAGGGCAAGCATTATGAAGAATCGCAAGCCATTTTTAAAATCAAGCTGTACATTTGTTACAGAAATGGAAGTGAAAAACAGCATTTGTTACTTCATTAGCCATTCCCTAGTGATTGATTGTTCAGCACATCATACCATGAAACAAATTCCAGCATAATAAAAGAGAACCATTGATATTAAAATATTGCAAATGATTTGTGGCTTAAAAACAGACTCTCAAAATATCATGTATGGTTAACATCTGTGAAAAAAATAAAAGCCCATCTGAATTTCTTTCGAGGTCACATTTTCAAAGAACAGATGTCACAAGCCCACCACCAAATTCGCAAGCATGCAGACATGTCAAGAGCTCAACATGTGCAGGCATTTTCCATTTCAGCATTCAGTTCCACAAAGCTGCAGGTTATCCAAGCATTTAGCAGCCAGCAGCAAACACTGTATTCTGCGAGCAAACTTCTAGTTGCCAAGGTTCCGTAAAAACCTTGCCAGTGGTTAAGTAGAATAATTTGTAATAATGTAATATTGGGAAGCAACCAACAGTGCGATCTGCAAACTCAGATAATGCTAGCAGATTTCTGCCAAATCTTCCCTTTGCACAAGGATTTGTGTGTTATGCTTGTGCACTGCATTTGAGCAAGCAGTTATACAACCACATTTGGACAAATATAACTTTCATTGGATTCTTCTCTTGTGAATATTTTAGAGCCAAGTTTCTATTGGAGCATCATAATTTGAGCCAGCAAAATTATACAGTCGGATGCTGCCTGTTGTGTCGGTACCACAGTGGGAACATTTACTGGTGCACATCACATGGCTTGGAGCGCAGTACATCAGACCATGCGGTGGCTCACCACAGCACTCACCCCCGTTGTGGGGAGAATCCTCGTGCTCACGCATCACCATGGCTCTGTGCCAGCAAACTGCCAATAGGATGGCAGCAATCTGGATGCCAATACGATGGCAGCAATCTGGATCTTCCCCCAGCCTGTGGCTCCATCCCTCACAGCCACTGTGTGGAGCAGCTCTTACGCAGAGAGGACCTTTCAGAGTTGTTATAATGTGCAGACAAAAAATGCTCGCTGGTATGTGGACGTATTTGTGCCACTATTCACTCCACACAAGATGGTCCCGTTTCAAAGTACAAAAATTAGAACCTCCACCTTAGAAAAAGGAGGTCCTAGAACCACATCTGAAAGCAGACTAGACTTCACCATAATGAAGTACCAGAAACAAAAAGTAAATTTCTAGCCTCCTTGAATGAAATGGTACACATAAAACAGATGATACCTGTTGCTTACAAAAAGGAGGGAAATTAAGAGTGCAACCTAACACATAAAATTATAATGATGTTAACTTGTGATGTGTGAATCATACTAAATCAAGTTTCCTGAATTCCAAGTTAATTCCATTGTATGTTCCTGAATTCCAAGTTAGTTCCATTGTATGTCCAATTGCTATCTTTTACTTTTTTCCTTTCTGAGCAAAAATGGATGTGCATTTTTTCCAAATGAATACATCATATGTGCGCTTTTTTGAAGTACATGCAGTCTTCCTCCATTGATTGAAGGGTGCTGGTGTGCACTTTTTAAAAGAACTCTCCTTCATGAGCATTTTTCAAAAGTATGCATGTCGGAAAACCCTCTGTTGCAAGCTGGAAATCACTTCATTGCACAGATTGCATTTGAGTCCCTGTTTGGCTCTTGGAGGTGCACACTTCCTCCTACATCCCTACATCCAGGGCTTTTTTTGTCGGCACCTTTTTTTCCAATGGATTTTACGATCAGCAGCAAACTGATCGTTTGGCTGCTTTTGTGTCTGCTATCTGCTATCTGATAGTAAAATAGTGAGGGCTCTGCCTCCCTCTGCTTGGGATTGGCGTGTGTGAGTCCTGGCGCCTTTTTTTTACAAAAAAAGCACTGCCTAAATCTATTGAAATACTGATGCTAATGCAGGAGATGCTTCTGGGCAATCCCCAGCCTCCCGATCTCAGTGCAGCTGGGATGAGTGTCTGGCAGCAACTGTGTGAGGGGCCAGCAGCCAGGCAGAGAACCTCAACTGCTGAGTGAGAGAGCTACCATGTGAAGCAGCTATTTCCTGTGAGGAGTACAATACACTCAGGCACCAACCATAGGTAGCCCCTTTGCAAGACTCTTCAGATGGCTCTGAAGGTTACGGTGCCGTCATCTTAATCCAGAGATACTTGAGTGCAGTGTCAAGTTTGGAGGGGGCATGCAATGTGATTTAAGTGCCGTGAGAAAAGCTGTTTCGGAGTGGGATGGTGCTGAAGAAAAGAGGAGCGCTATGCGTTTCAGGGATCCAGGCTTAGCCACTGGTTGAAAAGACGGCAGGGGGCCATCTGGAAGAGGGACACGGTTGGGTCATTATACTGCAAGACCAGTGGACTGTTCAGGATGGCTATCTTCCAACCAGCAGGACTGTGACTTGCTTTGAAAGATTTGCTCCTGAATGCCAAATCAGTAAATGGAGTGGCAGGAGTGGGTGGGGAGAGTATTTTAGAATGTAATCCTGGATGTATCAACCTGGCATGTGCCGTGAAGACCAGGCAAAGGGACTGTCTCACTTGTGTCTTTTTTGTGCACCAGTCTGGCCTATGGAGAAGTGGTGTAGGTCAGGATTCTCCTTGCTTGACCACTGAGTTTTGAATATTTGAGTCCTGTTACTAAGACAGGATAAGAATTCTTCTGATTTACCATTCACCCAGGTGTCCAATTCTCTCTTTACCTGAGCTGGCTGAAGTGGTCTCAGAGGTAAAGTTGGCTTCCCCTCGACCTGCCCCCACTGCCCCCCACCCACCTGGGGAATTGTTCTGGTGGTCTCAATGCTCATTCCAAGGATTCCCTATCAGGCACCGCTCAGGAAAGTGTGGTTGCTACAGTCTCCCTCAAGTAATTTCTGGCTCCACATGTTCAGCTGGATGCATCGCTGACCTCTTTTTCTTTCTGAATGAGAAAAGGCTGATCTAGGCATGAGGAAACCTAGGAGAGACTGCCACATTCTCTGCTTATGGGGCATCTTGGTTTGCACAGACCCATCATCACCAGATCCGGTTTAGCCTCAGAAGCACCCAAAACAACCACAAGAGCAGGAAACCTATAGGAATGGTCCGCCCTAGAATGGATCCAAGTGTTTCCTGATGGCATTCAGGGACTCCCCAATCACACAAGCTGCTGAAGCCCTGGTCACACTTTGGAACGAGGGAATGGCCTGGGTGTTCAACATACTTGGGTCTCAAATATCTTCCTGAATATGGAGTTAAGCTACCTCCCAGGTGGTCTGAGGAGCTGGTAATGCTGAGTTGGCAGAGGTGACTAGAGCAACTTTGGAGGAAGGCTTACAATGAATACAATTCATTGTAACATGATCCAGGCGATAACCCATATTAGAGCCTATTCTGTGACACTAATTGCAGCAAATAATTTTATTTCTCTGTCATCTTTGTGTCTGTTTTAAGTTATGCAAGGGAGCTGTTTCACGTAGTTAAAGGCTTTTAACATCTTGGCTCCTAAGACGAGCAGAGGACTGCTCAATTGCCTGCTGTGACTGATTTGCACGGGCTTTTACAGATAAAGTCACTCGTATCCATTCCAGCCGAGATGAAGCCATTACAGCAGTGCGAGTAGAAGTACCTCTGGGATCTCCTCTTAAGCGTTCCAGTTTATGCAAACTAAGGATGTGGACAGGATGCCTGGAAAGGTCAGACCAACTACAGGTGTACTAAACCTTTGCCCAGCCTGATTCAAAGGGGAAGCTGGAGGCGAGCAGGACCAATGATTAACGGGATGCTAGTCTTACATGTTTGAAGTATGTTGTGATGCAATTCTTCCTCACTCACCAGCTCCAGATTTTTCAAAATATCAGAAGTCTGGCTGAACCCAGACACTGTTGCACTACCATGTGGCCTCCTGAACCATGTATGTCAGGAGCTCACAAGGGAGTAAGGTGGTAGATGTGCAAATTAGGGTCCCTTGAGTGGTGTGACCCATCAGCTTCAGGGGCAGACTCAGCGATTGCTCTCCCTTTCTCTGGACAGGCTGCAGAGCTCTTTCTTGCAGAATAGGGCTTGGACCAGTGGGTAGTGGGATTCCTGAGGTCCCCCTGCTGACCTGCCTCTAAAGGGCCCCTCTGCTTTGGGTCATCAGCCAAGGAAACAGGAGAGCAAGCCATGACAGAGCCATCAGCAGTGCTCTACTCCACTCAAGTCACCAGAGGCATTTCCAGCGATTGCTCTTGGGCTGAAGCATTATGTTCTTTCGGCCCCTCCCTCCCTCCCTCCCATTCATTTCTAATAGTTATGAAATGGCAGGCAAATACAACTATTGGTACACTGTTGAAATTTATTCAGATCCATTTAACAAGTTGATTCACTTCGTAATAGCTTCCATGGGGGGCTCAATCACATGAAAGCTGCTTCAGCCTTATTTTTTATATTACTGGGTAGATAAAAGCATCACTTTGTTTCAAAGTCAAGTGGGCTCTGTGTTTGCTTTCCATACTTTCCAGTATACTGTTAATGGCAACATTCATATCCTGGCCCTGCTTTCTTTTCAGTTCAAATGCACCTTGCTCTTTTTCTGGGTCTTCTGTCTCCGTTTCCCTTCCCTTCCATTTATTTATCATATTTATATCCTGCCTTTTCTTTCAAGGAGATCAAGGGGCCTGCATCATTCTCCTCCTCCTTTTAATCTTATCCTCACAACAACAATCCAGTGAGGTAGGCCGGGCCAAGAGTCTGTGACTGACCCAAAGTCACCCAGCGGTTTCCATGGCTGAGCAAGGACTAGAACCCAGGTTGTCTGAGTCCCAGACCCATGTTTTTAACCACTATACCACACTGGCTCTCTACATGTGTAGACAAATTGGGGGGCGGGGGGGGGGGGCTCAATTGCTTCTCATCACTAGCACAGCTTGGACAGACTTGTCTCTCTTTGCCCTCAACACATTTAGCGAGAGAACGGGAATGGGAGGCAGCCAGCTGGGCAGCTGGTGCACTTTTCAGTGCCAGTGACTGGTTAGGCTGGCTTACCACTGAAAGAAATGAATTAAAAGTGACCTGACATAACTGCTGTGCCTGGTAAATCTAAATTTATTCCAAACTGCTCTTGCCATCTCCGTCATAAAACTGCAGGTGACAAGGTTGAAAAGGACATGATTTTATGTCAGAACAACATATTCCTCCCTACTAGTGGAGGACATAATTTTATTTAGCCACGACCTAAATATTTCTAACACTTCAGATGTTATCCAAGTATCACTCTGCAGACCACATCACACTTACCATATCTACCCAACACAGTGGAGATACCAGCACTGGGCAGGGGTTAACTTTTCTCCCAGCACTTCAGCTAGCAGCAAAATGCTGCATATGGCAACATTTGAACTCTTACGAGCGGCCTGGTGCCATGGCTAGATTCAGCTGTGTGAAATCTATTATGGACTGCCCATGTTTGAGAATTTAACCTTGATTTGCTTTCATTTCAGATGAGGGTACTCCCATAAATGTTTGTTCTATTTAGAGAGAATTGTTTACAAATACAATCTGGAACAAAGCATATAGGATTTGAATAAGAACATTTCTCTAGATGCCAGTTTATACTGATAGATAGGTACTTTAACCTATTAAATGCATCAGCACTGAAAGACAGAACAAGGTGATTATCTTAACAGAAAAGCTGACATTCAGGTTAATACTAAACCTGAGAGTGTTAAGTTCAAACAGCTTTATTTTCAAGCTTTATGGACAGAGCGAGCACTCCTGTGTCCACCCAACAGTGTCTGGAAGGCCAAAGGATTGGTCAGAACTGTCCTTGAGGGTCCTCCTTCTGTCACTGGAGCCTTCTTTCAAGGCTGGCTGGACTCCAGAGACAGAAGGCCACCTCTGGAGCAGGTCCCAGCAGGGAGGAGGCAGGGAGTGAGGCACCCCCTTCTGAGGAATCCTAGCAGGGCCTCAGCCCCTCCTCAAAAAAAGGGGAAATATTTAGATGGCCGAAATGGGCAGTCTAAAATGCTTTGGGCAGCGAGGGACAATCCATACAGACAATCCTGGCCAACGTGCTCCTCCTGCCCTCCATCAGCTGCCCATCGTCCTTCGAGTCTGGAGGGTCATATGCAGCCACACTGGATGGGCGCTGAGAAAACCAATAACCTTTTGTCTAACCTTTTGCCATGATCCCCACTTTAGAGGGATGTGTTGGCAATCATAGGCAGTGAGTGTCGCATTCATATTTGGCTTCAAAGAATGTTTTTGCAGAAAACTAGAATTCTAAAAAAAGGAAATCTTGAATTCTTGTGTAATCTTCATATAATCATATAAATTCACAGTACCTGCTAATGAAATGTATCAGCTGCAGTGCAATGGAACAGATGCTCTCTGTTCATGGCCATGCATTAAAACAGAGGAAAACTCTGTTCCTCTTGTGTGATAGTTTCTCCACCAAATCAAAGACTCTGGGGCTTATTTTTCATTTTGATTATTGTCTATTGTCATGTAAGTTTTCGGATATCGCAGCACATGTGCACTCAGGTGCATTTGTCAAAACACCCTTCTTGATGTCACCAGAGTGTACCCTTCTAGAGGTAGTCATCTCGTTTATGTTACTTAAAGGAGCTTGCACATCATTGTCTTATTCTGTCCAATCTTTCCTTCTTCATTAAAATAACCTGGAAGTTAACTTCACCAAGAAGCAGGGTTGGTAATAAGGACATACTGCTCTGGTGCAACACAGTGAGATTTCTCCTCCTGAAAGGAACAAAAAGCATCTCTTAGAATAATGTTTAGTACAAACCAATCAACAGGCATTCTCCTTCTTTTCTAGAACTACTGCAAGACCGCGAATATAATCCTCCATGAACAATACACGAGGGAAAATACTTTCCGAAAACCTGTGGATCGTATCCAGCTTCGTGCTATTGGAAAAAATGTGTCTCGCGGGCGGCTGTGCAGGCACCAGTGCGCTTAGGGCAAGCAGCCCCTGGCGCAAGGGAGTCGTCAAGCGCTATGAAAGCACTTGCAGAATGACCTGGGCAAGCAGAATCTCCGTGCTGAGCGTGACACGTGCTCAGAGGGGAGAACGGCCTTTCTGCAAGCACGGGCAGCTTTATGCTAGGCCCCTGGAGCACCAACGGCTTGCCATACATCCACGGGCAAAGCAGGAGGAATGGTAAGCGGTGTGCTTGCTGCTCTCCCGTCACCATGGGAGCCACACGTCTCTGCGCAGCGCTTGTCGCACAGGCAGCCCTCCCTCGACACCTGGCTTTCTAGAAGGGCCCTCGGAGCCAGACGCTTGGGATTAGCCACCTCTAGGGAGTGCTGCTTTTCAGGGCAACATGGTGCTTCAAAGAGCCCAGCTGCTCTTCAGAACTGGCTTCTGTGGCCAAGTGGGATGGCGGATGGATGGATGGATGGATGGATGGATGGATGGATGGATGGATGGATGGGGCAGAGACAGCACTCAGGCAGGCGAGGAGGAGCGTGTGGGATGCTGAAGGGAGACAAATGGGGAGACCAACATGGAGGGCGTGCAGGGGGAGGGGAGAAGCAGGTGCGGCAGTCAGCAGGGTGGGGACAGATACGGGTGGCAGGCAGGTAGGGCAAGACAAGACAGAGAAGCTCTCATGCTTTCTTTCTGGTACCAAACTGGCTCCCTCTTGAAAAATAGTGAAGTCCCTATTGGTAAATGACACCACTCAATATAACCCTACACCTGTATTAATTTTCATTGTCATGGCTATACTGACACAAGAAGCAATAAACTTATACTCACTTTTCCTCAATTACAGAAATGGGCTACCAAACTGTTCTTGTAGAAGTTTCTCCATTATTGAAATACTCTGGAGAAAGAATACAGACAAGTCACTTGGCGTTGGAACTATTTTAGCAGTGCTGTTAGGAGTTACTCCAGTATTCTTGTTTAGAGGTCACCTAGGCAGCCTGTGTCTATCAGAGCACTAAGAAGAATCTCTCCGGCTGGCCTGCTTTGCAATCAAGTGACTTCCTGTTGACAGAGGAGTCCTGTAGATACACTTAGCTTGGCCATAAAGCACATGCTTTGCAGGCAGAAAACCATGGCTTGAATGATCCTCAGAATCTTTGGCTTTGGAGAGGTCCGCCTGGCGCCGTCGTTATTTGTTTTTCGGCGCCAGGCTAAGACCTTTTTATTTAAGCAACATTTTAAATGCTAAATACAATTGAATTTTATCTGGCCAGGGCGGCTTATTTTATAATGTGAGTTTTAATTAAGATTATTTTATATGGATTTTAACTTGTTTTATCTATGTTGTAAGCCGCCCCGAGGCTTCGGCGAATGGGGCGGCATAAAAATGTTTTAATAAATAAATAAATAAATAAATAAAAGGCGGCAGGTGATGGGAGAGCACCCAGAAGCAGTGGAGAGTTGCTGCTGATCAGAACAGAGCAAACCAGGCCAGACAGACCAATAGCCTGACCTCATCTAAGGCAGCTTCTTGCATTGCATGGACAATGTGGCATTATTATGTTAGCCTTCAAAATGGGCTATCAGCCAAAGGCTTAAGGTGATTAGGAAATCGCATTTCCCTTAGTCTTCTGATTCCTCCATGCAACAACTGATTTCATCCATAGCATCCAGAGGCAGAGGCATATGTGCCTCTGGACATCTCCACTGAACTGGCTAGCATATGTGGTCTTTTGCAGACCTAGAGGGAGAACACACAGAGAGTGAAGGGGGGGAAAGTAAAATATTCAGGGATATAAAAGTTCTTCTCTATAAAAGTTCAGTCTCTAAAACTTGTATGTTGCAAGTAAAGATGTAAAGGCCCCACACTCCCCCAAAATGGGAAAAATCCACAAGCATTTTTTTTCTGCTCTCCTTCCACCTCCAAGATTTTTGGAAAAATGAGATGAGGGAGAAATTTTGCAGTTTGCTTTTCTTCCCCCTCGCAGGCCTTCACATCTCTAGCTGTAAGCCTATATATCACACACAGCACAGCTGACCTATTGGCTCTTGTAGCAGGAAAAAATAAGAACCCATTAAATTATCCTAAGACTGCTGGGCAGGTGGTAGTAGAAATGGGCACCAGGCCTGCAGATCTTCTCCAGCCCCATCCCACAACTCGGGAAAAGGAGCCCAGATGGAACAACAGACTGGTCTAAGAAACAAGGAGGTAAGCCACTTCCGAAGTTCCTGAAGGACCCCCCCCCTTCAATGCCTTTCGCAAAAGTGCCATATCTACATCATACAGATTAACATTTAAGTTCTGGACTGTGATAGTTTCAACGAAGGTCAAAATGGAACATAACATCCCAGCCACTGCAGCAATCAGAAGGGGGTTGTTTGGTTGTAGCATTTATATCACACTGCTCACTGAGTCACCTGATCAGACTATCCTTCAATTTAGTTTCTCATCAAGTAAATGATTAAAACAGCCTTTGTTTTTTGAGTGCTCCTTTGCAAGCATGTATAGAAAAGTGGGCTCTGCTTTGCCTTTTCAAAAGTAATCAGGCAAGTGGTTTCCTTTCCTGCCTCTCTCATCTCCACAGGAAGTGAGAACTGGCTAACACAGCCCATCCGTCTACATTACGATTGTCACCACTTACTAAGTAGAGCACTAATTGACATGTGGAAGCTCTGAGGTTTGCCTTGGGAATTTTAAAATGTTATTTACTGAATCAATTACGTTCAAAGTGTGTCAGTTGCTTTTCCTTTCTTCCTCATAAAATAGCTGCCTTATGGGGAATTGTTTGATAAAACAGCTGGGGCAGGAAAGAAGGGGGAAATTATGGAATAAATAAGGGACAAAGGGCAGTTGTAAGTCAGCATTATTGTTCTTTCCAGTGAGAGATGATTGACCTAAATGCTAATAAATTTCTTTCCCACTCCATTTCTTAAGGGGGCAATTCTCTGGTGAGGAGCTAACTCCTCCAGACTCAGAGCTCTGCACTCACCCAATGCAAGGGAGGAGGCGTGACAGAAGCCCTCTCCAAGCCCCTGCTCCTCCCACTCTGCATTTTCACCAGAGGGGCTTTATTGTCCCTGTGGCTAAGGCACTCCCGGAGAGGGTGGGAAGGAGGCTGGGGCAGCGTCAGGACACCTTGTACTGTTGCTGCCTCAGTCCCTTCACCTCTCTGCCCCCACCGATGTCGCCTGCCCATCCTCAGAGAGCCGCGGTTGCGTTTCTTCTGGCACTGGCTGCAAGGGTGCGAAAGAGGGGGCAGGCAGAGCGCTGACGCTCAGCTCTGGGGCCGTCAGACCGTGTCAGGGCCATCCCCTGGGCTCATTCCTTCATGCAAAATTCTAGCAGCTGAATTCTGAGCTGGCTGAAGTTTCAACCTTGGTCCAAGTGATCAAGCTTCTACCCGCTAAATTTATAACACTTTACAATAATTTACTAGAAATGTACATTATCAAAGAAACTTCACTTAACCATTAAGATGTCTACCTTCCCACATATAGCTTAGATGTCTTTTAATTGGCTTATTCTTTAAGTACTCTAATTTCTAAACATACTTTTTAAACAAGCCTATTCAATTTGACCTTTTTATCCTTTTCACCTGGATCTAAGTTTTATTTATTTATTTAGTCATGGCAACTGATTCTTTTACTTTATCTAACCATTTGGATTTCTATTTGTCCCAGGTATGTCGTATATACTGTTAGGTCCTGCGACAGCTATCCTGAATGAGGTTAAGAGCATGATCCTAAGCTTGTTTACTGATAACTAATTCTACTGAGCTCAGGAGCACTTGCTAGGTAATAAACTTGGTGAGAATTGAAGCTTAAGACCACAGTTCTATGCTAATTAACCTGGCAGCCCCACTGAAGACAATGGAACTTCTAAGTAACCATGCATAGGATTTCATCACACGTTTCCAGAAAGTATTGTCTTTCTTGTGTGTGTGTGTGTGTGTGTATGGGCAAAGTATATGAATCAAGTTATAAATTGATCCCAATCTTCTATATTATCATGTATCTTCCCTCCAATGTTTTTAAAACAGGCATATTTCACTTAAAGATAAAATCACCCTTCTTATTAGAAATGTCTAGAATTACTATGATTTGTACTATAACTTTTATTTATGAGAGATACAACACAATTTCCCTGGAATGAAGCCCTGCTGTGATTAAATTGAACTTAATCCCAGGACAGTGTGGGTAAGAATTCAGTTGTAATCTGCTATCTCATTAACTTCTTAAAACAATATTCTTTCATGTTCATGTTCAAGGAAAAACTGTCACCAGTTATCCATCAGTATTCACCTTTTATGGAAGTATATCTTCTTCAATACCTTGAGTTGTTTTACTATATAATCTCTTGCTTGTTAAAACTTGTATTCATATTCTAAAAGGATTTTGTAGATTTTAGACAGAAGTATATTAGCTTTCATCAATGACCGGTTTTTCTAAAACATACTAGATTTTCATGTTTGATCATAAAAAGTAAAACAATGCCCCCTAAACTAAAAGTACTCAAACTAAAGGGAATTCAAACCATTCATTTGCTTTTCAGCAAATGTCTCCTTGCCATTGTCAATTAAATCCCTTTATTTATATATCCCGTGTTCCCACCAGAACTTCTATTTCCTTGCTCTGTGTGAGATCACAGATCCTGTTACACCCTACTTACCTATTCCAGTCTCCTATTTTTAGCAAATTGGATAATTTAAAAAGATTCATGGATGGGAGGAATCCTATGGCTCCTAGTGTCCAGAAAGCTACGGGCTATTTACGATCCCCATAGCTGAGGTCAGAGATAGTGGTTTGACCTCAGAGATGGGCTCTGGAGCTCTGACCCTGTTCCCCCTTACAGGAGGTGCAGAAAGAACATGCTCAATGCTGCCCAAAGGATCAGAATCTGGGCTGCTCCAGGTCTCCATGTGGTGGCCAGAACCAGAATGGCCATTGTAGTAATGACTGGACTGGGTCCAGGCCTTGCTGGAGCTCACAACCTCTTGATAAGCACCAGCTAGGAGACCTAGCTAGGGGCAAGGGCTATTTAAGAGCAAACTTTCCCCGCTGGAGACTGTCTCAGCAACGCAGGTCTTCCTGTTGGCCATGGTGTTTCAGCTCCTGTGTCTTTTCCCCACCCTTGCGGTTTCCAGCCTTAGTGTCTCACCACAGCAACGCAGCTCTTCTGTTACCTTTCGCACATTTCAGCTCCTGATTCTCACTGGACCTTAGCTGGATCTAGAGCCTGCCATGCATTGCTGTCTCATCTCCCCTCGTTCTGCCTTGCCACCTGGCCTTGCTTGCTATACTTTTGCTGCTCCTCAGTCCTGTGCAGTTATCCTGCCTCAGGATTCCCGCTGCCGGTTCTTGTCGTCTTCCCAATTCTCAACCCTTGGCTTGTCCACAACCATGTCCTGCTCTTGTTCTGACATGTACTCCTGGCTCCTGACTTCAACCTGTTCCTTGACTACAATCCTGCCTCTGACTTCACTGCTAGACTTTAGCCTGAGTTTAGACTCTGGTCTTGGGTCCTCTTGCCTGGGTCCTGGTGCATCTGCCTGGACTCCTGCCATCCACACCCACAGCCCTGGCACAAGGTCAAAGTAATCGCCTTCTTCCACAACTCCCCCAGCAACAAGCATTTCACACCAGAGCTGCCTCTGAATATGGATCAATAAACACCAGTAGACCCACTTCTTTGCCTAATGCCACTTTAGAAACAACTAGGATCATTGCCACCACAATGCTTCCAACAGCACACCCCATACATAGATTCTGCATTGTATGATTCTTCAGTCTCTCCTAAAGTTCATTAGGGAACCTAGTCCTAGTATTATGAAATGCAAAAGATACCCCCTTACATCTATCCACTTTCCTCACACCATTAATAATGTTATAAACTAGTCCAGTGTCCCCTGTTCCATAGTTACTCTTTCATCTAAACAAAAAGGGCTCCAAATGTTCAAAGCCGTTCCATACAGATAAAGATGCAGTATCCCCTTGGTCATTTGTCTTTTCCAACACCTCTAACGCAACAATATTCTGAGTTGAAATGAGCAGAATTCCAAATCTGACCAAACTTTAGATCTGTATGACATTATGATTTTCGCAGTTTTATTTTCTACGTATTTCCTAGTAAATCTTAGCAAAGTACAGTGGGGTGGGTAGAGAAGGTCACCATAATGTCTGGAATTCATTCAATTAATCTCATGGTACTGAATTCTGGTGCAATGAATTTCGGATGCACGGTGCTCAGATGTAACGAGAGGCTGGGACTGCTGAGAATTCTGGCCTATCAGCAAAAAAGCCCCCTTGTACACGCTGCTCAATTGTTCTGCTTGGTTCCTCTGAAAAACTGGATAAACTATTCAGAAAATAGTATGTAAAAACTTCCGATTACATCTAAACCTGGATCATATCTTCTTGTTCCCCCAGCAAGCCAGAATGGAAAACCATTTTCAGATCCTGGCTTCAGAATCAGTTTTGTTAGGAGAGCAAACAACAGGGAGTCTAGATTCAGACTAACAAGAAACTTTTACTTCTTTGTTAATTCCTGGCCAGTTTAGCCACTAGCTAACCTAGTAGCAAGAGTCCACTGGATGAACAATAAGCCAGAACGATAATCAATTCTGGCTTGCTGTTATGTCTGTACACAGCTGATAAGTCTCATCTGTACGCATATGATGAAAAGAAAGTTACTTATACCACCATTCAAAGGTTGCAAATACAAATGTTTTCTGAATACTGATACGTCATTCACTCTCTTTGGATTTCACATAAAACTTGTTGTGTGTGACTTTTATTTCAGATTCTGGTATGCGTACCTCAGATGGCCAAATGAATTCACCTATTCTTCAGCAAAACTACTGTTTGATCACGATGCCTTATCTTGCTTGTGCTGAAAATAGCTGTTATGGGAAGGATGGAAACCAAAACTAGCCATATAAAAATAGTAACTGCAAATGCTTCTACTTGAAAGAAGATTTGAACCTTCTACAACAAAAAAGGATGCCAAGTACACATCGAAATAAAATGAGTCAAGTTTATCTGGGAGCATAGAGAGAGTAAGTCTGACTAGAGAAGTTTTTAGAAAATCAATGATTCTCTTTATTTAGTACAGAAAGAAGAGCTGATGTGGCAGCAATCACACACAGCAGTTCTAGCTACGCCATCTTAAAATACTTTCCTATTCTGACACTTATCCAGAGAACCCCCTAAAAGGTGCCAAAATCAATTGTTTTCATTTGTCTGATTTACTGTGCCAAGACTTGTCAATTATTCATACATATCAGCCACCAGGAAGATGAATGAAATCTACAAGATCTTGTTTATATACACATATATAAGCAGGGAGGGGGATAAAGGGGATTTAATTTTTCCTTTACTTGCCTTACTATACCCTGTAAAATCTTCTAACTCAATAGGACAGATGGCTTTCATTGTCCCATGCCTCCATGCTGTAGTGTCCCAAAGTCTGACACCATGTGGCTGGTGCATGATGCACCAGCACTTCTATGGGCACAAAGCCACGGAGAAGCAGTGCCCGTGCTTTTCCCTGTTTTAGAGGAGACATGAAACTTGCAGATTCAGTGAACCTATGTAGCAGCATCCAGACATGAGCTTTTATGCCTTTGTGAGCAAAGTAAACTAGAACTATAGATACCTCAAACTTTAGAACCATCTCAGTTATTGCTGCTTTACTATTTTCATGAAGGATCCACCTGGCACTGAAAGGACATGTTCTGTTATATAGGTTGGGTAACAGCCTGCTAAAACTCTGTAAAACTGTAGAGTTTTACTGCAAAGCACCAGCTAAAGGTATGTAATAATGAAATGGCTCCTGATCATTCCAATTAGTATCATGGTTCGCCTTCAACAAATTACAGCAGCATGTCAGCTATCTAGACAAAGCTGGGGCATTATCTAAAGGGGATGTCCATAGGCTTCCGAACTCAGAAGACTGCATGCCTCCTCTGCAGAGAGGAGGGAGCAGTGAGACAAAGATGGTCTTTGTGCTTCTCCTGCCCTGCAAATCATCTAGACAGCCAATTTCAGCTAGACAGCTGATGGGAATAAATAAGGAATAAAGGGCAGTTTTAAGTCAGCACTACTGTTCTTTCCAATTAGATATGGTTAACTCAAACTCTAATCAATATAATACCCTTTCAACTAAAGCTCCTTATGCAGAGGAGCTTAAGTCTCCAATTTGGAGGCCCAAGCTCATCTAGCGCAGAGCGGAAGACGCAATCTCTTTATCTCCTTCCACTCTGAATGTCCCCAAGATGGGCTGCTTCTCAGAGGGAGGGAAGATGGCTGGAGCAGCTTCAGCACAGTTTGCATCATGGCCAGTCTGGTTCCCCCAGAGTGCCCATCTCACCCTTTTCCAAAGTCTCTCTTACAACCTGCAAGGCACAGCCAGCATGATTCTTTTTGCACTGGCTGTGCAAGTGGCCAGGGTGATCTGAACATGGAGCCCGAGCTCCAAAAGCAGAGCTGTTTTCCAGTCTGTAAAATCTGAAAATCTGGACCCTGCCTAGGAGGCATGGGATCGCTCTGCAAGACCAATTCGTTTTATGCTACTTTTCCATGGATTTATCATTTGGTTTATTTTAGCTGCTTACTAAACTTAAGTGTAGTTGGCCAAAAATAGCTACTCTACAGAATCTTTCTTTTGAACAAACCAGAAACAGCAGGAACATATAACAGTTTCCCAGTTTTAGAAATCTATTTACTAAAGGTTCAAACATATGGCAGCAAAATAAACAGGATCTATATAGTACTATTTATTCAATTGTTCCAAGTATAGCTGCATTTTCATTATTTCAGCTCTTACAATTTACCTATAAGGTATCTCAGTATTAGTATCTACCAAAGTGGGAAGTACAACAGTGTTACTGAGTATTCTCACCTCCTAGTAGGATCCCCCACCAGTCAGGCCCTCCTCCAGTTTGCCACTCCAATCTATTCCTCCCCAGCCCCACTTTCCTTTCCAACAGACATCCAACATTACATGGCTACTGAGCACGCTCTGTTCTCATTGAACATTTTATTGTATTTTATTTTTCTGGTGATGAGGGGTAGGGGCTGGTTTTGAATCTTTAACTATACCATGTGTTTTTGGAAAGCCGTGAGATTCCCTCAAGCAAATGACACCTCCGGCCTGCTTCTTAGCAGTCCCTTGTTGGTTCTATTTGTCAGCATTTGCCACCTGAATTCACATTTGAAAAGATGGTGAGCTGAAACTGACAAGCCACAGTGTCCACAGGTCAGAGGCAACCTGCCTCGGGGGACTGCTGTGTCATGAAAACACAGTGAGCCAGGGTTGAGTGATGGTTAAGCCTCCCTTGCATAATCCATACTCACTAGGGTCACAGAATGCAGCAACCCATGAGCAGAAGCTGCATCTTCACCCACCCCGAAGCCTCACCTTGGGTTAAATAACCCATGCAAACAGCCCTAGTGGCTTCCCTGGGGTCATTAACTGAAGTATGTGCTTCCTGGTTTGCTGCTCAGTCTTCTAGCAACTGTGTTACATAAATTCTCATCTATTATCTCTCCAACAAGCAATGGAAAACATTTGCTTGTGTTGGCATATCACGGGGCGGCCAAGCCAAGGCTCAGGAACCACATGCGGCTCTTTATTTTGCAGCTTGCCACTCGCCACCCCATTGCTGCTTGCCACCCGTTGCCACAGCCCACGGGTGCCCACTTGCGGCTGTCAAACATTGGACATAGACCGTATGGGTCTCTTCTGTTGAGCAAGTCTAGGCACCCCTGGTGTATATAGTGCCTGGGAAAATCCATCTATTTAATGTAGGTAGGTAGGTATTTTCTCTCCTTCCACAGCTAGTTGCATTAGGCACAGGAAGAATAACGAATTAAAATAAAACAAATCCACAGTATTCAAGCAGTTCACCCAATACAGAACAGCCACTAAGGAGACACAGGGTGGGGCATTCAAGGTTGAATTTCCTGAGCTTGATTCGACTCAGACATTTCAGCTGGGGCACTCATCCAGTTGAGCACCTCTGCTTCAAATATTTGCCCCATTTCATCTGAATGAAATTTCAAAGAAATGAAACTCAGGCAGAAGTACAGGTAGGCCTTGAATCTACATAAATACAGAACAGGTGTTCTCTTGTACATGAAGCTGCATTCCGCAATCAATGAAATTCTGGAGAAAAGTCTTGAAAGCACATTCACAAAGTATATGTGATGCTGAGAATGTGTGAAAGATTGTTAAAAATAAAGCATTTACCTTTTTGACTCCTTGGTTTAAAAAGGTTTGTGCAAAAACTTCCAGGAAGCAATTCAGCAATCCTGTCCCCTTTATTGACACTCTCCCTTTCTGAATGAATTCTGTCCTGAAAGAAGAGAAGAGAACTGAGCTACTGCTCTTCCGGAGTACCAGGTACTGTGGTTCTGCCATAAAAGTACACTCTACAGAAACATACCCTAGCAGCAAAATGTACCAATGTGTTTCAATGTGCAGCACTTACCACCTGTAGTTTTGATAAGAGGTCCACCTGGCACCATCATTATATGTTTTTCAGCGCCAGGTTAAGATCTTTTTATTTAATCAGTATTTTAACAAGTTTTAATATTGAATTTTATTACCATTTTTAATTGCAGCCAGAGTGGGTTGTTAATTTATTTATGTTATACTTTTATGTATTGGTATTTTATTTGTGTAAGCCATCCTGAGGCTCTCGCAAAGGATGGCATACAAATATCTTAAATAAAATAAAATAAATAAGCAATTGCATTTAAAACAATTACAAAAATTAAAGCTGCTGCTTGATTAACTTAGGGCAGCATTTTGATAATTCATACATTTTAACTGATTAATGTTAATGAGAATGTTGCTGCTGCCCTATTCATTATAGTGTATTATATCACAATCACTTAAATCATGAAGATACAAACCTATGTCCATTTGCTCAACTATACAGAATTACAAATGCTGAAACAACCTCGCAGGTTGGTTTCACTTAGCATGTTGGAATAAGTTTGTTTGTGGGGAGGGGATAATGTTTTTAGTCTGCAAATACCAGTCAAAATTGGGTAGAAAGATATTAATAGTGGTAGTACTTACTGCTTGCACATGTATATATGATGGAAAAGGGAAGGCAGATGAATTTGCCAGGACAAGGTCTTAGCCAATTTAGTATATGAGAACAGAGAAATACTGCATTTTGCTTAACCATTCACACTTTATATATGTGTTTTTGAATTACTTGGAAGAAATACACAGTAATCTTGTTTTTGTAGAAATTCTTTTTTATAACAAGACAATTCAATTAGTAGTACCACATGAAGCAGTATTTTTATTTCAAAAGCAGAAGGAACACATGCTTCTGGGTTTATTCATGAAGGCATGCTTGTCACCTGATTTTTCCTTGCCAAATACCATTGTCACGGAGTTGGTTATGGAACTGTTGAACTGAAAAATATTGGATTTAGGACAGGAAAAGGTCACATCCAAGCTCTGCCTTTGGGGATTTGTGTGTGTTATCTGTCGCACGTTTAATTGTCCTATGCAGACTGAAGTGGTCATTGACTGATGAACGTACAAATATGAACCCAGCCTCACTCCTGGCTTGAAAACCAGATTCTTCTTGACAGCAGAATGCCATGACACATCCCACATTCCAGCAACCACGTTCCATCTTGGAAACAGCATTGTTTTCTGGATGTAATGCTTTAGGAAAAACGTGAACCCATCTTTCAGTAGAGTATGTCCAAAGCAGAAAACAATGTAACGAAGAGTAAACCTCTCAAAATCAGTACAATCCTCTTCAGAAAGTTATACTCCGCAGCTTTTCCACAAGACTGTGCCCAAAGCAGCTCACAATATATTTAACGGGTAGCAATAAAAATCACAATTTAAAACCACATAATAAAAATATCAAGCAATTCATATAATATTGAATTAAAAATACACAAAAACCTGATCTAAGTTTAGCTTTAAATAAAAGACAGGGTCAAGGTGGAAGTCAGAAATAAATATGCTCCCTACAACAACGATCTCCGACTCTGTTCTACAAAGGCAACACAACAGCAGTCTCTACAATTAATCTACAAACACTGACTGGCAGCCCCACCTCTCACGTGGAGCAGCCGTCCTCCTAGCTCTCACCTGGATCCCCTTCTCCCAGTTCCTTCTCTGTCTCCCACCTGGGGAGGTAAAATGACCAGTCCTCTTTCAAGTGCAACGAACATGCATAGTGTTGACATTACTCAGTCTTTCTTCACCAACCCCACTTCCAGCACTTATCTTCAGGGAGCAGGGCTTTTTCAGGCTCCAAGCTGGTAGGGTGAGACAAGCAGAGAACAAGTCCCTCTTCTATTTGTAGACCCCATCCACCACTAGCAAGCAAAAGCCACGCCTCTGATAGGTGCAATTCCACAGCCACCATAAACAAACAAGTTTTTGAAGTCACTTAGATGAAGTGTGCTTCTGGGGCTGAGGGAGTTTCTGCAGGAGCTTGTTTCATAATCTCTGGACTAGGTCACAGAGAAGACAAGCCCATGTACAGTGCACTAGAGTAATATTTATTTATTTATTTAGAAAATTTCTATGCCACCCCATTCGCCGAAGCCTCGGGGCAGCTCACAAATATATCAATTAAAATATTAAACAATAAGAATATAAAACAAGTTAACAATATAAAATAAGTCGCCCTGGCTGAAGAATAAAATAAATAAATAGTATTAACAGTTAAAATGACATTTGAATAAAAAGGTCTTCGCCTGGCGCCGAAACACATATAACGACGGCGCCAGGCGGACCTCTCTAGGGAGCGCATTCCATAGATTGGGCACCACCACAGAGAAAGCCCTCCTCCGAGTACTTACCCTCCTAATTTCCTTCATGAAGGGTTCCCGGAGAAGGGCCTCTCCCGCAGATCTCAGGGGGCGGGCGGGCATATATGGATGTAAGCGCTCCTTCAGGTAACCAAGACCCAAGCCGTTTAGGGCTTTATAGGTCATCACCAACACCTTGAATTGGGCCCGGACTTCAATGGGAAGCCAGTGAAGCTGACGGAGGACTGGAGTCATGTGAACATAACGCCCAGTCCCCGTCAGCAGCCTGGCAGCTCTATTTTGAACCAGCTGAAGTATCCGGACCGTCTTCAAGGATAGCCCCACGTAGAGCGCGTTACAGAAGTCAAGGCGGGAAGTCACCAGCGTGTGTGTCACTGTCGCCAAGCAGTCGTACTCCAGGTAGGGGTCAGCTGCTGTCACCTGAGCTTCCAATGAAAGCTCTGGGTCGAGGAGCACTCCCAAGCTGCGGACCTTGTCCCTAAGAGGGAGTGCAACCCCATTCAGAAATTCTATTTATAAACAGAAGGTTATCATCACATGCAACACAATGGTCACATTCCCCTCTTCCCAGAAGAGGCAGAGTTGGCATGTTAAGTAAATTTGATAGAACATACCTCTGGCTATCATTACAAAGAGACCCAGATTCAGAAACACTCTCAAGCTACCAACAAGTTCCTTCTTGTGAACCTCCTCTAGAATCAGCATTTCTATTACATCACCAGAACTGGCATTACCCACCATGGACAAACCTGTCTTGCCAAGACTGAGGTTGAAGTTTAATACTTTCATCCAATACATTCTCAATCTTATACCACATATCAAAGCATGATACCACCAAACTTGAATTAGATGGAAAGGAGAAATAGAACAGGTTATCATCAGCATGCAGGTAAGATGACATTCTGGTCAACTTCCCCCATCCACTGCAAGCAGCAACAACAAATCAGATTTATTTGGGACTTCATAGCTGAACCCCCACTGGGAAGAACAAAAGCCCCCAGCATCAACTTTTAAATCCTTCTGGACAGGTAGGAGCAGATTCATGGCAAAATAATCTCTAAATTTTTAAAAACTGATCCATAAGTGTACCATGGTCAATGATAGCAAAGGCTGCTGAGAGGTCCAGCATAATTCAAAAGGATCATACTGCTCTGTCTCCTAGCAATGGACATCAATCTATCCTGAAGTTGTTATGAAATGAATCTGGACACTTTGCTTCATCCCAGAGTAGCTGGAGTTGTCCTGTCAATGTCAACTCAAACACATCAATTTATTAAACTTTTGTACTATAATTCCATTAATCTGGGGGGCTGAGGGAAGGTTTCTTTAGAAAAAACTAACTACTGTCTCCAGACTTGATGCCATGCCACCATTCCTCTGCAGCATATTAATAGTGACCAATAAACAGGTGTGTAACTTCTTTCAACAGGTAAGAATCGAGCAGATTAAATGATGACTGAAACACAACAAAATCTGATCAAATAACCATCATCTAACCAGATACCTTCAATGCAATATCCCAACCGGATATGCAGTCAAGCTTGGTTTGGATACAGGAGATTTCAACCAGAAGGTACTTCATAGAAATAATCCTGTAGGCCACAAAAGGACTCAAAACCAGACTATAAAATCTGGCATAGAAATGTTATAATAATAATAATAATAATAATAATAATAATAATATCTCTTTAGCAAAACAAAACATAAACAAGCTTTGTTTCATGATACTGCAGACACAAAGATGGCAAATAAGACATCCGTTTATTTCATCACTTTCACAAAGAAGGCTCTCAAATGGGCTCTGCGAAATTTCCTTTGAGTTTTTCTCCATCATCAAATCAAGACATCATCCCAATCATCTCATATTCCAAGTTAGTGGAGACCATGCCTGGGCACTGGTGGCCAAGGGGGAATAAGTATATGCTGTGTGCATTGCCCAAATCTATTTTCTATTCCAGGACAGAAGTAGGACTTTGGAAAAATGCCCAGTCTTCAAGATCAGGCACTGATAATACATCCACCACAAGCCTAAAAGCCAGCAGAAGCCATGAAGACCAAACTTGATTGGACAATACAAAACGGTACATATCTACACTAATGGAGTACCCACTCCCTAAAATACTGATGACAAAAAGACTAAAACAAGTGTGTAACAAGAAGCATGCATTGACACATGTTGGATGTACTGAGGAAAATAAGCTTGAAAGATTTCAACACCCATGGAATGTCTAACCCGGGGTCGGCAACCTTTAACACTCAAAGAGCCATTTGGACCCGTTTCCCACACAAAAGAAAACACCGTGTGCCGCAAAAGCCTTTTGGCATCTAAAGTGAAGATAACACTGCATATATCGTTTTTCACCTTAATGCTATGTATATCTTCATTATGGTTTAGCTGCAGCTCTTGTTCAGTCACTAAAAACTGTTATTTTTAATTTAACATTATAAATTAGTAGGACTCCTTTCATATATTTTGAATAGGAAAACAGCTTCCTGAAGAGTCAAAGTCAGTGCTAAAGGGCTGCATGCGTTAAAC